GCATCTCAGCACTGGCAGGGGTCTCCATGTGCCTCCTCCATTTCCCAGGGCTGCATCAGGGTAGGTCCATATGGCTTCTCCTCAGGGATGTCTCGCAGGAAGTGAGCATAGAGAGAACCTCCCATCTCCAAGGAGGAAATACTGGAATTCCCAGAATCCTTAGGGGAAGGCCCTGCCCAAACAATAGCTTCATTGGCTATAACCTGATTTGACAGAATAGACGCCACCCCTTCATTCTTAATCCTCTTAAGTCTCAAATTGACACCAGATTATGTAACTACCAAACCCCTCGTATGTATATACACACATACAGAATCTAAAGATTACTGCTCTTCTCACTTTTCTCATTCATGGGAAAAATCTAAATCCAATGGTTCCAAAGAAAAAGACCTATAATATAGACATTGCAGGTGTTATGCTAATGAAAAACTCAGTCACCAAGTGAACATTAAGCCTAACTCATGAACAAAGAGGTGCTGACTGACTTTCAAATGTGATATAGCTGTTACTGCTGTTATGTGCCTCAAGTCAATTTCAGCTCAAAGTTACCCTGTACAACAGAGTAGAACTGCCCTCTAGGGCTTCCCATAATGTAATTTTACCAGAAGCAGATTGCTGAGTCTTTTCTCCCACAATGTCATTGGTGGGTGGGTTCAAACTACTAGCCTTTCAGTCAGCACTTGAGTACTTAATCAATGGACAGCCAAGGTTTCTCTCTTATACATGGAATGGCATATCCAATATGTAGGAGCTCTGGTGGAGGAGTGGGTTATACACAGGGCTGTTAGTCCAAGGTCAGCAGTGCAAAACACGAGCCACTCCTCAGGAAAAAGATGAGGCAAGGAGGGCAATCTCACATACTTTGGACATGCTGTCCTGAGAGACCAGCCTTGGACAGGGGCATCGTGGTGGGTAAAGTGGGGAGGGCAGGGCAAGAAGAAGGCCCTTAACATGATGTATAGACACAGTGGCTGCATCTATGGGCTCACACTTAAGAATAACTGTGAGAATGGCACAGGACCAGGTGGTGTTTGGTCTGTTGTATGCAGGGTCACTATGAATCAGCACCTACTAGATGGCACCAACCAATAACAAAGCCATTATGGATATCTTAAACCTGGGTACACAACCATATATACTCAAAAGTGAAACTAAGTGATTAAATAATAGAATCCATTGTGTCAAGCACATCTGTACATATGTTGCTATCATTCTTTCCAAAACATTTTCTTTCTACTTGAGCCCTTGGTATCAGCTCATTTTCTCCCTCCCTTCCCCACCCTCCTCCCTCATGAGCCCTTGATAATTTATAAATTATTATTTTCATATCTTACTGACTGCTGTCTCCCTTCACCACATTGCTGTTGTTCACCCCCCTTGGAGGGGTGGGGGGTTTCACAATCAATCATTGTGAAATGTTTAAACACCCGAGATACAGGGATCATAAAAGCTTTCAGCTCTATTAAAGATTTACAGCCTGAGAGACCCTGGGGGTGGGGGCAATGTTCTACTCTATCCATGGAATCGCTATGAGTCAGAATTGACTCAATGGCAGTGAGTCGATTGGTTTGGTTTTATTCCTCCTTAGTATTGAAAATATTCACAATAATGACCCTTGGTGTATTTTTTTTTCATTTCTTACACTAGCCACTTAAGGAATACTGTTATGAAAGTGTCCTCCAAAAAGATGCTGAAGTCTTTTGACTTGGTCTGTAACAGGGTCTTTGAAGATATTATTAACATGAGGCCCTGCCTAAATGTAGCTCCTAATCTAATCTAATGTCCTTCAAAAAGAGAATAGACACATTAAAAAAGAGAAAGGCTCATGGAGGAGAGATTTATGCTGCAGCTGCAAGCCAAGGAAGATACGGGGCCATCAGAAGTTGGGGAAGTAAGAAAAAATCTTCTCCTACAGCCTTTGGAAAACATGGCTCTGTCAAGACCATGAATTTGGACTACTAGTCAATAAATCTGTTAAAGCCATAATGGCATTTGGGTATCATAACCCTAGAAGATGAGCACAGATACTATTGTTCTGAAATGTATTAATTCATTTAAATCTCCTAACAACTTACGAAAATAAATGACAACAACTATAAAACCTACTGCTATCAATCAATTCTGACTCATATAAAACACTTAGGACAGCTTAGAACTGCTCCTTAAGGTTTCTGAGACTGTAAATCTTACCAGAGTAGATTTTTTTCCCAAAGAGAGCTGGTAGGTTTGAACCACTGATCTCTCAAGGTTAGCAGTCCAATGCATACCCCACTTAGACACTGGGCTCCTAAGAGGAAGGCATTACTGGTCTCAGTTATTATTATTATTGGTCTCACTTTATGAGGGAACAGTCATTGAAAGGATATGTAATTTGTTGAAGATGACACAGTGGTAGAGCCGGAGTTCTAGCTTTCAGAGTCTGGTCTTTCAAAACCTGCATGACAGTACCTGTCATCTTTAAAGGCAAGAATAGATGCATGCATAGACACAAAAAATGGTTGTGAGAGGGCGAGTGGGAATATAACTACAAATACATATGTGTGTGTTTGATAGACGATATGTGCATATGTGTGTTTCTCTTTGCTGTGGTGGAGCATACAGGGGCCAAAGTTATGAAACTGTCTTACACATAACAAAACACCTTGGTAAAATGTCACTGGGCCTGGGGGCTTAGAATCATAGTCTCAGGGTACACCAAGATCAATTGGCATAACAAAAATAATAATAATAAAAGCATAATCCAGTTTCACAAAGAATAAAACACTATTTTATTGTTCCCTATAGGGTTGCCATGAGTCAGAATTGACTTAATGGTAGCGAGTTTTTATTTCGTTTATCTTGCTAAAAGAAAGATGAGGCTTTCTACTTCTGTAAAGAGTTACAGTCTTGGAAACCCACGGGGGCAGTTCTACCCTGTCCTGTAGAGCTATGAGTTGATGGACTTGATGGCAGTGAGATCATTTTGTTAATTTAATCCCAGAACAACAATGCCTGCAAAAAATGCCTACCTTGGTCAATCAGGAAACATGTTTAATGCCATTCTCCTTCCTGAACAATGCCAACGGTTAACATACCAGACTGCAAGTCCATCCAGGAGCACCTGGGGAGAAAAGGCTTTGACAAGCTCCTTCTGAAAAAAATGAGCCACTAAAAACTCTATGGAGTATAATTCTACTCCGGTACACACAGATCGTCACGACTAAAAGTCCACTTGAGAGCAACTGGTTTTAAGCCACAAGAGTGAGTATGGATTTGTGGGGCGAGATGTTGGACGACCAAAGTGTGTAAGCCAAACAGAATATCAGCTGAGCACCTAATTTTACCACAAACTACAATAAAAATGTGCTGAAAAACTCGGATTATACACAAGGATATATGGTACTTTATGTTCTGTGCTTGTGATTTGTAGCTAGAAGGTCTATCAAGGAGACTTCCTAGCCTCAATGTATATGCAATCTTCACCAAAAGAATTTATGCACTCAGACCCACTGTATTTTTGAATACAGATGACGAAATAAATTGCACTGAAATGTCCAAATAGAATAGTTGTCTTTTGTAAATTACTCTCATCTAAAATGTTCACACCCCCTTAGTCTCTCAAGATAGGGGCAGAAGGAAACCCATCTTGAATAGATTGTCTCTTTTCGAAGTGACATCTTCATTCCTTCTCTCCTATGATAAGGAAGTGACAGTTTGAACATTTCCTGTCTTGGGATCCAACGTAGTGGCTTTTGCACCCTCAAACTACTGTTTGAAAACACATCCTACTGCACTGGGCCTCCTACACTATATGTAGTCTGGGGGATTCTTTCTGTTCCTTCTGGGGCTCTATTCCACATACTGCTCATCAAGTCCTAGATCTTCTGAGAACGTTTGTTTGCTTGCTGCTTGCTTGCTTGGGATTTGGTTAGCAGTCTTCAGAGTCCAGTCACATCACTAGCAGCAGCACCTATATGAGGGGACTTCAAAAAGCTAGCGGAAAAATGGAATGAAAAGATAACAGTATTTTCCCGCTTGCATACCCCATCTGTAGACAAATTGACATCCCCTTACAGAAGGGTCACAAGTAAGAGATGAGCCAGTTAAGATACAGCATAGAAACATACAACTTTCCTCTAGGTTGTTAATGCTTTCTCCCCCACACTATCATGACCCCAATTGTACCTTGCAAATTTGGCTAGACCAGAGCATGTACACAGGTACAGATAAGAGCTTGCAACACAGGGAATCCAGGACAGATAAACCCCTCAAAACCATAATGAGAGTAATGATACCTGGAGAGTAATTACAGGGAAGGTGAGGGGAGAAAGGAGGGCCCGATCACAATGATCTACATATAACCCCCTCCCAGGGGGACAGACAACAGAAAAGTGGGTGAAGGGAGACAATGGTCAATGTAAGACATGAAAAAAATATATAAATTATCAACGGTTCATGAGGCAGAGGGCGGGAGTACTGTGCTGAGTAATATTTTTAGGCCAGACCCCAAAATCACAGGGAAAATTGTAGATGAGCCTGTCACCTAAGAGTAGGTTGTCAGTTAGTGGGGGAAGGGGGAGAAATGAGCTGATACCAAGGGCTCAAGTAGAAAGAAAATGTTTTGAAAATGATGATGGCAACATATGTGCAAATGTGCTTGACACAATGGATGTTAGCATGGATTGTGATAAGAGCTTTAAGAGCCCCCACAGTAAAATGATGTTTTTAAAAGAGAGAGATTTTTTCAAAAGACCTGGGGTAAGGAACCTGGTACTGCCAGGTCTACAAGGTCTAGGTTTCATTCAGAGGGGTCCTTGACCGCTGCCGCTGCGTTCACACTGCGACACCCACTGAGGTCGGGCGGCACGGTGACCAAGGTCTCGGGCGCACCTTACTCGGTGTCCCACCACTCACCATCCCTCACCGCGCTCAGGTGGGGCATCCTGAGGCTTTCGCCTGGGACGTCACCTGCGGGCGGGCCCCGGCGCGCCCACCCCCAGTCCCCCGCCCGCCGAACGTACCGTTGTCTCCTTGGCAGCGGCCACCGGGATGGGGAGCAGCCCCCGGGCCCGCGGAGGGTCCTCGGGCTCTCCCGCTGAGCTCTCGGAGGGGCGTTCCGGCGGCGGCGCGGGCTCGGCCCGGGGGTCCCCATACAGCTGGTAGCACACGAGGCCGACTAGCCCCCCGCCGGCCGCCGCGGCGATGCTCAGCTCGCCCCAGCGCCGCCGTCGCCTCCAAGCCGCCTCAGCCACAGCCCCGTCTTCCTCCTCCCGGCAGGAGAAGCACCGGCCAGGAGGGCTCGGGGCCACCCCCGCAGGCCGCCCCCAAGGCCCGGGAAAGGGCTGGTGCGGGGAGAGCGGAGACGACAGCCGAGGCGGCGGCCACAAGAGCCTCCGCAGCGCAGCCATAGCGGGAGCCGCGGGCACCGGAGCCTGAAAGGGGCGGGGGGAGGTGGCCACGAAACCTCGCGAGAAGTCGGTCGCGGCCGGGAGGTGCGAGGCTGCAGAGAGCGGCCGCAGCGAACGCGCGGTCTCGGCACGCGCGGGGCAGCTTGCGTGCTGGGCTGCCCGTGCTTTGCGGTTCACGGAGGGACGGGTCTCGGCTGTGCTGGTTTCGGCACCCCCAACCCAACCCCGCCGTCAGAAATAACCGCACTCGCACCCAGCGGCACCTGCCCGCGCGGGAACCCGACCCCCCCCCCCGCACGGCCCAGCCGAGTTGGCGGGCGGAGGTCTGCGGCTGAGCTTCCAGGGCCGGGGTCGGCGGGGCGAGTGCGTGCATGGCCGGCGGCCCGCCGGGAGTCGCATCCCCTAAGGGTGGCTTGCGCCTGTGACGCCAGGTCGTGGATAATTCGTCATTGCACCTTCACGAGTACATCAAAAACGAGATGCAAGAATTTGGCTCAATGGGAATAGTATGTCAAGGAAACCAAGAAACCAAACTTGACTATGGTTACCATGATGGAGGAGGACGCCCTTTGCTTACTTAAGGCAGTGGTTCTCCACCTTCCTCATGTTGTGGTGACCCCCTTCCCCCAACCATACAATCATTTTTGTTGCTACTTCATCACTGTCATTTTGCTACTGTTATGTATCAGATGACCTCTGTGAAAGGGTCATTTGGCCTCCAAAGGGGTCGCGACTCACAGGTTGAGAACCACTGGCTTAAGTGGCATTGATTTCATTTTAAAGGTGAACAATTGGAAAGGGATATCAATAATGCTTGTACAAGAGTATAATCAATAGCACTGAATTTTATACATGTAGAAATCGAACTGGTGAATGTTTTGTTGTATATATTTTTTGCCAAAATTGAAAAAAACAATTACGTGAATAACAATGACGACAGGGCAAAGGAAAAATGTTTTAAAACTGATTGTAGTAAAGATTGTACAACTATTCTTGATATGATTGACCTATATAATTGTATGATATGGGAATGATGTGCCAATAAAACTTTTTAAAACAAATTTGACTCCAAAGTTGAAAATTAAAGAATGTTTTGGCTTTAGGAGGGCAGCTTCTAGGGTGGAGCAGGGATGGTTTGTGTTTGTTTTAAGTTACCGGTCAGAGTAATGTTCTGTTTCTCAAGCTGAGTGCAGATAGCATAAGTGTATTCACTTACGTAAAAGTTCTTAGAGCTGCCCACTTAGGATTTTTATAAGGTTTTTTTTAAAGATCAATTATTTTTTGTATATATATATATAAATATTCTTCAAAATGCACAAGTACTGATTTATTTTTTGAGGATTCTGCTCACATATGAACTATGTAATTTAGAAAAAAAAGTGGAGCAATTCAAAACAATTTAGTGATTAAAAACTTTAAAAGAATGTAGTGAGATTTTAGTTTGCTAACTTATAACATATTTTTAAGAATTGTTTTCATTGGAAAAGTGTATATTAAAAGCTTTCTGTCAAAAAAAAATCTTAGATAAGACCCAAAATACAATGCCAATAGCAACAGAGCATCTCTAGTTGAAAAACGTCAGGGCCTCTGATCCTACATCTTAAAAGCTTCCTTTTTAACACTCATTGTGTGGCCGGAAACACCTCTCTAGAATCTTGTTGCTAGGTGTTGTCCCTTTAGTTTTGACTCATAGAAACTACATGTACAATAGGATGAAACGGGCCTGCTCCTGGGCCATGCTCACAATTGTTATATTTGAGACCATTGTGGCTGCTAGTGTGTCAGTCCACCTCCTTGACGGCCTTCCTCTTTTTCACTACCCTTCGACCTGACCAAGAATGAGACCATTCTCTTTTACCAAGAATGAAGTCCTTTTCTGGGGACTGGTTTCTCCTCATATCACGGCCATGAGGACTGGCTGTCCTTACTTCTAAGGAGTCTTCCAACTGCATTTCTTTCATGACAGATTCGTTCTTTTAGCAGCTCAAGGAATCTTCACTCTTCTTCACCAATGCCATCACTTCACTGCATCCACTATTCTTCGGTCTTCCTCATTCAGTGTCCAACTTCCACATGCATACGAGGCACTTGAAAATACCATGGTTTCCGTCAGGTGGACCTTCGAGCTCAAGGTGACACCCTTGTTCTTCCCCACTGTAAAGAGGTCTTGCTTATGCAGCTTGTTTATCTAATGCACTATGTCTTGATTTCTTAACTGCTACTTTCATGAACATTGATTGGAGATCCAAGTAAGATGAAATCTTTGACAACTTCAATCTTTTCTCCATTTATCACAATGTCAATTACTGGGCCAGTTTTGAGGATTGCTGTTTTCTTTATACTGAATTATAATCCATATGGAAGGCTGCAGTCCTTGGTCTTCATCAGCAAGTGCTTTCAGTCCTCCTCAATTTCAACAAGCAAGGTTGTGTAATCTGTATCTTGAAGGTTGTTAATAAGCCTTCCTCTAGTCCTGATGCTGTATTATTCTTCATATAGTCTAGCTTCACTGATTATTTGATCAGCATGCAGATTGAGTAATTATGGTGAGAGGATTCAACCCTGGTGCATGCCTTTTCTGATTTTAAACCTTGCAGTATACCCTTGCTCTATTTGTACTATTGCCTCTTGACCATGTATAAGTTCTGAATGAGCACAATGAAATGTTCTGAAATGCCCATTCTTCTCTAGGCTATCCTTAGTTTTTATGATTCATACAGACAAATGCTTTTGCATAGTCAATAAAACACAGGTCAACATTTTCTGATATCATTTGTTTTCAACCAAGATCCATCTGATGTCAGCAATAGTGTCCCTTGTTTTAGATCCTCTTCTGAATTTCTGACATGATATTAATGATATGGTTTGATGATTTGCTCATTCTGTTGGGTCACCTTTCTTTGGAATGAGCACAAATACAGACCTCTTCCAGTTGGCTGAGCAATTAGCTAGCTGTCTTCCAAATATCTTGGGATAGGTGAGTGAGTGCTTCCAGTATTTCCTCAGCTGAAACATTTCAATTGGCATTCTGTCAATTTCTGGAGTCCTTTTTTTTTTTTACTAACACCTTCAATGTAGCTTGGACTTCTTTCAGTATAATCAGTTCTTGATCATATGCTACCTCAAAATGGTTGAATGTTGACTAATTCTTTTTGGTACAATGACTGTGTATTCCTTCCACCTTCTTTTGGTGTTTCCTGCATGGTTCAATATTTGACCCATAGAATTTGTGATGCTTGATTGTTCTCCCTTTTTTTCAACTTCAGATATACTGAGTGTGTCCTTTTTGGCTTTCTATTGTCAGGTCTTTGCACATTTTATTATAATACTTTGTCTTCTCAAGCTTTCCTTTGAAAATTTCTGTTCAGCGCTTTGACTTCATCATCTCTTCTATGTGCCTTAAGTATTCTATGATTAAGAGCAAGATTCAGACTCTTCTGACATCCACTTTGGTCTTTCCTTCCTTTCCTGTCTTTTTAATCACCGTTTACTTTATTCATGAATGATGTTCTTGATGTTGCAGGTCTTCCAAGAGATATTCATGACATTCAGATGGAATATACCTACAATCCTATTTTGGTTCTTGTGGACTTGTTTTAATTTTCTTCAGTTTCAATCTGAACTTATATATGAGCAATTGATGATCTGTTCCACAGTCAGCCCCTAGCCTCGTTTTAGCTGCTTGATATTGAACTTCTCCATTGTAATCAATTTGATTTCTATATATTCCATCTGGAGAAGTTTATGTACATACTCGCCTTTTATGTTGTTAAAGAAGGCATTTGCAATGAAGAAGTCATTGGTTTTGCAAAATTCTATCATGTGATTTCCAGCTATTTCTATCAAGTAGGCCATGTTCTCCAATTACTCTTCCTTCCTCTTTCTTTTTAACATTCCAATCACTAATAATTATTGATGCATTGATTGCATGTTTGATAGAATTCTTCAATTTCTTGGTCACTAGTTGTAGTGGTAGGGAAGCCTGGAGGCATGGCGGGCTATGAGTTGGGTGGCTAAGATAAAGAGGAAGCTTTCTACTCCCATAAAGAGTTACAGACTCAGAAACCCACAGCAGCAGTTCTACCCTGCCCTATCACAGAATCAACTGGATGGCAGTGAGTTTGGGAGCTTCAGAGGTTGGTTGGTAAATTTGAATCTTGTGTGCACAGAAGTATTATCCTACCACCGCACTATACTTCAAGAAAGATCTTGACATTTCTTTGATACTGATAAATGTCATTCCTCTTAAAATGTCATTCTTGGTATAGTAAACCATATGATATTCTGATTCATAATGGTCAACAGCAATTCATTTTAGTTCACTAATGCCTACAGTATAGATCTGTATGCATTCCATTTCTTTTTTTGACAACTTCCAATTTTCCTTGATTTATACTTCTTACATTCCTAATTCAAATTTAAAACAGATGTTCACATCTGTTTCTTCACATTTGAGTCAGAACTCATCAGCAAATGAAGGTCTTGAAAGGTTTACTCCATCCACATCATTCTGGTGGACACAACTTTGTAGGCAGCTCCTCTTTAATCATACTTTGACCGTTCCTACCTGAGCGGCTCATCTTCAGGCACTGGATCTGACAGGGTTCTACTGCTGTTCATGAGATTTTCAGTATCTGACAATGTTCCACTGCTATTCAGAACGTTTTCAGTGGCTAATTCCTCAGAAGTGGACAGTCTATGCCCTTCTCCATGGTCTTTTCTTTGTCGGAAAGCTTTGCTGAAACCTGTTCACCTTGGATGCTGCTGCTAGTACTCAAAATATGAATGGCATAGCTTCTACTGTCACAGCAGCACACAAGCCACCCTTGGGTGACAAAGTGATAGACGAGTGGTGGCTGTGGAATGTTAGGACTCACTCAAAACTACTAACACACACATTCTTTAATTCTTACTGATGAGGAAACAGATGCCTACAGCTTAAATAATTTTCAGCATCACCTCATGTTAACTAGTATCACGTGCAAAGATCATCTTTTCAAATAAGTTTACTGGGGGTTGAGACATAAACATATCTTTGGGAAGCATACAGTTCAACCTACAATACTGTGCTTTATCACTGATTCATGAAATCTCCAAACATTGAACAATCGGCTCTCATGAACTAGTACAAACTGGCTCCAGCCCCTCACTGGCAGGCGTTTAAAGATTACCCTTTCCGTCACCATCTCTATTAGAGAGACTGGAAGATCTTGAAGACCAGTGTTTAAGCCAAGAGATATCACTATGAGTGGGATAGAAGAATAAGCCCCTCCCTCTCAAAATCACACCTGTGTTAGTCTGGGTACATTAGAGAAACAAATCCACAGAAACTCATGTATAAGAGAGAGTATAAAAAGGTTAAGTGCGCATCAAGAAAACATTCCAACCCAGGGCTGCCTAAGCCCACAAGTCCAACATTAACTCATATGTCTGCCACCAATCCACAAAGTCCTCCTCCATCTCACAAAACACACACTATGATGCCAACTGCAGGAGGAAAGCCGAATAAATGAATGTGTAAGCATGTCAGCACCGGCAGGGGTCTCCACACGGCTGCTTCAACACCCAGGGCTGCATCTGGGTAGGTCCATGTGACTTCTCCTCAGGGATGTCTTGCAGGAAGTGAGCCTTGCCAGCTGCATCAGGGAACTGGCTAAGGCAGCTACACCCTGGTGCGGACCATCAGAAAGCAAGAGACCAGAGAATTAGAAAGACGAGGCTCAATGAGCCATTTATCCCTCTGCCCTTCAATTAACCCCACATGTGTTTATTGGCCGGGTTGGCACAATAAACTAACTACCTCAACACCCACCAAGATTAAGAATTGCTTTCAGCCACACATGACAAAACAAACTTACCCATTCTGGTGGCACCGTGTTTAAAATGCCAGGCTGTTAATTGGAAGGTCAATGACTTGACCCCACACCTACTCGGCTGCAGGAAGAGGCAGTCCCACAGGTAGTTCTGTGTTCTGAAGGGTGCTATGAATCAGAATCGACTCTACGGTAGTGGGTTTTGTCAAGAGGAGAGTCAACAGAAACCCTCCCTTTATAGTTCACTGATTCATATCAACTAATGTAACATACTATGGGGACCACAAAAGTATTGTTGCAAAATCATTAACATATTAAAAAATTGTAATATGATTATTGTTTCTTTACATATCCTCCAATTCTACGCATTTTTAAAATTGTTTTATTAGGGGCTCATACGACTCATC